CCGCTTTCAGATTCCCCTCTGGATTGTCTCTGTATCTCGGATCACTTGGTTCTGTTTCTGATCCCGCTCTTGGATTCCGTTCTCTGGTTTGTCCCCTTGACAAATCTACCTGTCTCCCGCCTCTTGGATTTGACCCTGTGCATTCCTCTGCACCAACAAGTAAATGTGAAGGGATCCCTCCAAATCTACCTGGATGGATTAGAGGAATCCTCAGAGATTCACCAATGACGCCACTCGCCAACAGGCTTTTTTAGAAACTCTCAAAGTTTGTCCCAAAACTCCTAGAAGTTTAGTGACTTAGACTTAGACAACTTTTATTTCATTTTGTACAGCTTTCCCGCCATTTACATGCCTTGAAGTGCAGCAGTGGTCAAATGTAAATGTGGGAGAAAAATAAACATGAAAACATAAATAGGTAACATATACTAAGAGACGGGAAAACAGACAGACAGATAGCAGAACACTATTTTAGAGGTTTCAGAGGTCTATTAAAGTAAATTAATAACACATTCTTAGTTATTTTTTCTCTTTTTAACCAATTAACTTATTTTCTGTCATATGTAACAAATCTGTATTTCTATCACCCAATGGGTTATTTGCTGGTCATTTTCTAAGGTTTGTAATCCACTATTACATGACAGTATAGATTTACTGGGGAGTACAAACAAAGGGCTATGATTATTGGTTAATTGGTTTACTGTAGCACTTCATTCAAGGTAACCTTTTTTAGAAACAATCAATAACTGTGAAGGTGCAACTCTCATTAATACCTCCGCTAATGTATTGGAATGATCTTAGGCTAATCCATGTGACATCTTGTATTTCATAGACCTCAATACATTAATTTCATAAAACATCTTTAGCTCATCTTATTACTTATTGTGGTCAGGATGTTATACAGCCTGAACATGATGCATAACCTGTCTCATCATTTTTTTTTTATATTTCTTTAGTCAGATTGATGCACCCTTCCCTTTCTCCATTTTTTAAAAAGATTCATTAGTTCCTCTAATTATCACATCAGTCGTCCCTGCTCTTTCATCACTCCTGTTCCAAGCCCCACAACCACCAGTGACTCATTTGGGAATATTGCTCATCACATTGTTTAAGCAAATATGTTATGAGAGGTTGGATCGAATGAGGCACCCACATCCTGCCCACCCTCCTCAGCTATATCAAGATAATCAATTACATTCACAAATTTCTTGTTACAACTCAGAATAGTTTTATGGCAACAAAGAAAGCAATGATTATGAAACTATCAATAACTAAAATATGTACTTTATTTTGCTGTTAGTTGTTACAGCTGAGTATTTTTTAATGAAGTTTAGTTCCTTAGCTAAAATAATGAAATATTATTATTTATTTATGAAATATATATGAAATTCTTTCTAATCTTGTATTGGAAAGAGAAAAAAAACAACAGAAATGAAATGACAAAGTAGGTTCTTTGCAGCATTTTTTTTTCATGTTAAAATAGCATAAAATGTTCTTAGAATGAGGGCAGCTATGTATTTTGCATCTCAGTGATTTTCCTTAAAATAATGGGGAAAGAATAACTAATTAACTAATAAATGTCATGAACCGAGTACAGATGGACCCAGTATTCAAGGAGAGACAGTCATTAGGAAAGTTCAAAAAGGTTTATTAAATTAACAAAAACTAAACTAAAGTGGAGCTGTGGCTCTCGGATACTTCAGGAGGGGGGTGGGGCACCGCCCAATCTCTGACTCTCTGTGGGAGAAACACAGGTAAGTGAGCACGATCATCTGACAGAAGATTATTATCTGAGTTGGTCACTAACCTGGTTTAACAGTCCAGTCCAAGAATGTACCCAGAGCTGGGGGAGGACATGCTGGAAGCCGATCCTGGTTAGGGATCAAGAACAGACAGGAACAGACAGGAACAGGATCCAGATCAGGCAGGAACAGGAACAGGTGGCAGGATCCAGACTTCCAGGCATCCACAAGCTCCAAGGAGGGTTCAGAGTCTGACAGGGTCCGAAAGCGTGACCAGGTGGTCACGCACAGGAGTAGACAGGATCAGGTGCAGATGAGCAGGCTCAGTGGAAGAGGGTAGCCGAGACAGGACGTGGAACCGGAACTTGATGCAGGACTTTAAACTGGTCTCCTCCCTGGAGCCAGGCTTACTGAGATAAAAACTGAACCTCGCCACATATAGAGCCAAAAACCCAGAGGACTCCACGGGGGAGGAACAGTGGACGATCAGGAGACCAGACAGACTTTGTTTTTTTTTTTCTGTCCGCATTGCAAATTGTACACAAGGGGATGAATATTACAATAAATTACGGCAGAAGGTATTTTTTAGTAAGCTTTTTAACTTTAAAATATGTAAGATGCTTTTGCGCTTGGCTACGTTTAATATTTCTAATGATGAAATAATTTTTAGCTCAATAATTATGTTTGTCACACTTTAGTAAATATTACTGTTTCAAGTCGATATATTTTACTTTAAATTCACTTCCTTGTTTATAATTCTAATAATTCCACTAATCTCTTCCTGTTTCCCACATTTTAATTCATCTTCTCCTCTCCTTTGTGTTTTCACCCCATATTTACATGCAGCTAAGGTTGTGGGGGTTGTGTCATTTTTTTCTCCATAGGTCAGTGCATTCTGTTTCTAACACAGGACCAATTATTAGCTGTTGCTGTAAGGGATGAGGGTGTGCCTGTGTGCGGCATGGTAGTTATTAAGAAACCAGGATGACTTTATAAACAAGCCTCTTGCTAATAGGACCAAGTACGCTGTGTTTTTGTGTCGTGGCTGCTTTGTTTTTGTTGTGACAGAAGGAGGGCTGGTGTAACTGATCAACATTTTAGTATGCTGCAAGACACTATAAAGAAACAACAGCAAACTTCTTGAAACTTTTTTTGTGGTTGACATAATCTGTCTTCATCAGCCATGCTATCTACAAATATTTGATTTCTTTAAATAAATATTCTCTAATTATGACGTTTAGAGTAACTTGTTTTGTTTTTATTGAAAGGCTAATGAGGTATAGGTTATACATCAGATAAAAAATATGCAATGTATGTATTTCAGCTAATGCATTATAGTTTAAAGTTTTGATTAAGCCTTTAAGTGGATTAAGTGAGTAGATCTCCTTTATGAGGGAAAGTTGGAGGCAATGATCCTTGATCCAGACTGCTGCAGTTATTTCCTCTCTGATGCAGTGCTCTCTGTTTTGCAGGGGTAAAAGTTCTTTAACTCGAACCCTGAAGACACTTGCTTTCACTTTACCGCAGCCTCTCTCAGTGGGTAATCACTGTCCTACTTAAAACAGTTATGGTCACTTGTTTCCAGGACAGAGAGGGACTGCTGCTCAGGTAGCAGAGTTTATGACGATTACACTTGCGTGTAAAATACCACTTTGGGCATAATATTGATTGAGGAATAGCACTGACATAGATAAAAGCGCAAATTAGTTGATTTTATTAGATGAAAGCTCTTTAATAATGTTGGAGTTGTTCACAGTTCAACTCAGGTCCTTTGAGACATACAGTCTGAGAGATTCCTCTTTTGTTACTAGCTCTGCTTTTTCCCTGTTACCTACTCAGTGATGCCATACACCCCCATGTAAGTGCTGCATCTCATTTTATGCTATGCTGTATGCACTCTTGGACATTTCCTGACAGCAATGTACTAGAAGCTTTGTTTTCTAAGTAATTGCTCTTTCAATGTAAACTCCAATTAGTTATTATTACTTCAAAAAAGCATGTAAACCAGTTGCACTAGAAGGATAAGTACAGTGAACTAGGTATATTAGGTTGTGCCAACTAGAGCTTTATTTGTAAAATACACTAATATATTTGTTTAACTATAAAAATAATCAAATAGTATTTACTTTGACTAAATGAGGAGTACTCAGAATAAAAATGTTAGTATACGAAATGATTGCATGGAAAATTAACTTTTTAGTCCCTCCATTCATCTCATGCCACTTAATCGGTCAGGTTAGGGTTGTTGCATATCTTCAGCAGTATATAGGCGAAAGGTAGGGTACACCCTGGGCAGGTTGCCCGTTCACACACTCACACCTATAGAGATGCCAATGCACCTAACAGTCATGCTTTTAGACTGTGGGAGGATGGTGGAGTACCTGGAGTGAAACCATGCATGCACGGGAAGAACAGAGAAAGAATGTCCTGGGCTGGGAATCAAACCCAGGATCTTGTTGCTGCAAGGCAGTAGTGTTACAGGCTGTTCCACTGTGCAGCCTGTCCTACACAGCATTTCAAGGTTATTTTTTTCTTGACCAGAAATCTGATTTACTTACAGTACTAGGACCATGCAAAACAAATAGAGTCCAAATTTGGTATATTTTTACACAACATTTAGATTTAAAAGTCTGTACTACTTTTTTGTGCTATAAATAATATTTTGGTAGTGTTTTGCAATGTTTATTTCAAAGAAAATTTTGGCGAGGTTCAAAAAATGCAAAATATTTAGTATTTTGTCCCTAATATTTCAGGCAGGGTCAAAGCTACAATGGTGCTGACACCAGAAAACCATTCTATGACATCTTACCTTTACAGACGTACCAAAAGTTTCTTCTTAAATCTAATAGCTGTGAGGCTATAAGTGATTTACTTTTGTGTGTTTTTGTCAGGCAGATATTTATACCCCCTTAGGGTGTAAGAGGTTAAGCTATCTGACTCTTTATTTTGTACCCTTTATCCAAATACTGAAGTTCGTGTAACTGATATGCAATATAAAGATGAACATGCTTATTTGTCATAGAAAAAGCAATGTGTAATGAGTTGGGAATAAAAGCATTAATATAACTTTATGTTTTATAACTGTGAGAGAACAAGAAAACCAACATTTCCCATTTTTGTATTTCTGCTTGGAGAAATACATATAATAGTTGATTAAAACTATTACTAATCATAATATTGGATGAATAAAAATAATTCTAACTGGATAAGTATTCTTGGAGTTCTCCATATTCTAAATATTGTTTTCTTCTTTTCTTTTAGGGCTATTGGTGTGTCAGGGATGGGATCCTACAGGCTTGACTAATGTGTGATATTTTCTAAAACCTCCATGGAGCTCATCCAGGCCACCCAGGTTTCGTTAGTGCCACAGGACAAAACCACAACTGCCTGGAACAACAGTTCACTCCTAATATATTACCATCCTTTGCTTTCTACTGTTTCCTATGAGTCGATTCCCAGCATCAGCCAAGCTGAAGATTCCTTCCTCTTTAACAGCAGCTGCTTTAACACTACTAAAGATATACCAACGTCCCTTCCAGGGTTGGCAGGAGTTTTCATCCCTCTTATATATGGGATAGTTTGCATCGTTGGGTTAGTGGGAAACACTCTGGTCATTCATGTGATTGTAAACTACACAAAGAATGAGTCAGTCACGAACATCTACATCCTCAACCTTGCCATCGCAGATGAACTTTTTATGCTAGGTTTACCCTTTCTGGCGGTGCAAAATGCCCTCCTCTCTTGGCCCTTTGGGTCACTGATGTGCCGTGTTGTAATGACAGTAGATGCCTTCAACCAGTTCACCAGCATATTCTGTCTCACTGTGATGTCAGTTGATCGGTACCTGGCAGTTGTTCATCCCATTCGGGCCTCCTGGTGGCGACGCCCCCACGTGGCAAAGGCTATTAGTGCCACAGTATGGCTGGTGTCCTTTGTGGTGGTGTTGCCAGTGGTGGTCTTTGCAGATGTGCTGAAGGACGATGGAAACTGCAGCATCGTGTGGCCTGAACCAGCAGAAGTGTGGAAGACATCTTTTATTGTGTACACATGCACTGTTGGCTTCTTCTGCCCGCTGCTTGTCATCTCTTTATGCTACCTACTGATCATCATCAAGGTATTACTTTGTATTGAGTGTTATTAAACATTTAGAAATGCAGAAACGTTCAGGTCCTAAATATATATATATATATCTTCAGTAGAAACTTCAGCAGAATTTCCAGAGGCTTATGAGGGAAATGTGGAGCATCTTTGGATAATTTAAGATCTAACATACTAAGACGTCTTTAACCTAAAATCTAGGTTTTACATAATTTTTTACCTAATTTTAAAGGAAACAGTACAAAAAACCTCAGTACAAAACATGATCTTAATAAATCAATGGGTTCTGTTCTCTAGCACAGGTGCACAAAAGCAAACAAAGTGAAGTGTGGTACTACGGGTGACACTTCCTGCCAAGTCAAGAGGACACATTTTCAGTTTGAGAGCAGGATTTCACTCAGCTTGCAATCCACATGCAAGAACAAGAGGTGTGCAAGCGCATTTCTGACTCAAGGAGAGAAAACGTTTGCGTGTCAGGAGAAAGAAGGCAAGCAGGAGGAGAAATGATTTGTGTAGGAAGCGCTGAATAGCAAATATTTAGGAGAAAGCAGGAGTTTTGAATGCAAGCATTATAGAGTGATATTCTGGACTAAAAATTAAAATGATTAATCTTGACTTGGCAAGCAAAATCCTACATAGAAAAGATTACAGTCATATTTGCAAACAGATCATATCAGTTAGATTATCACTAAGATTTTACTTTCACAAGGGTAGACTGAGGAGTAACTGGAAAAGTATGTCATGCTGCATTAGAATGCCTTTAAGAAAACTAGATCTCTATTTTACTCAAACTAAATGCAAACTTACATTATTAGAATATGTATTTCTTTTAGAGACAGAAATTTAAACCACAGCAGCAGATAAAGATACATAATTCAAAAAACAAAGGTTTTTAAGCATTATAAGGTGTCCTAATGAACAGTTAAAAAAAAAAAAAAGAAAGAAATCTATCAACATTGCATTTGGACACTGTTTCATAAAATCAGAATTGTCATTACAAGGACATAAGATGAGGACCAATGAAGTAATTATGAAGGACATTTGACCAAGTCTTGGCCTGAGTGTATTGTGTCAATAAAACATTTTCTCGAGCATTTCTAATGCTATGTATAGACATACAAACATTTTTTATTCTTCAAGTGCTTTTATTTTTGTTAATTTTGATTAAAATGATCATAGAGAGGAATCCAGGTTTTAGTAACAAAGTAAATTTTGCATTTGAATTGGAAATAAAGAGCCACCTTAAAGAGACATATAATCTAGAGTAGGGCTGGGTGATACATATATTTTTTTAAATTTTTGAAGATTACATTTTTAGAAAATCTGGATTTTCTCCACCAATAGACTCCTTGGGCTTCCATAGCTCAGACTGACATCATTTCATTGTTTATTGTTCTTAGATTACTTCTAATAACTGATAAACTAACCCCTGTGAAAGCATTAGCTATAAACATTTAGCATGTTATTGTGTGAATGCTGTAAAGCATTCACACTATTGAGATCCTGTTTCTCTTTATTCTTTATTATTATTATTATTATTGTGTGAATGCTGTAGGCATTCACACTATTGAGATCCTGTTTCTCTTTATTCTTTATTTATTTTTTTTATTATTTTTATTCTTCCGACCATTTTTTGTAACGCTACTACTTCTGCATACTTTGTGCTATTTCAACCATTCAAATTTCACAATATTCAGCTCATTTAGGACATGTCGGCTATGTCTTTTTGTACTTCTACCTCTTTTGCTTTTTAAATTATTCTGCTTTTTCTGCAAATTTTTGCTTCATTGAAATGAATGGCATTTTGCTAAAATTCTGCTAAATCTTCTGCTATTTTGCTCTTTAACTACTTCTGCATACTTTCAGCTAGAAACACCATTCAACTTTTAAAATATTTCCGTATCTTTCTGCTATTACTGTTTAACTCGGCTTTTTGCTAGCTTTTACAGTTTTGCTTCAGTGAAGCTTCAAACTTTTAAACAATTTTTACAGATTTTCAAATTTATAATGGAAGTCTATGGACGGAATGTTCAGCTGCTAGAGTGTGCCACTCTAGCGTTTTCAAACATTTCACTCATGCCGAACAGCTTCAACTCACTCGCTCATTTTTTACCCTATCTAGATAAATTTTACATCAAAACGTAGGGATTTTTGTCAGGATTCAGGAAATGTAACCCTCATCTGTGTGGCATTTACGGTTTTCCGACAGTTTGGCCCAGACCACGAAGAAGTCCACACTTCTCCAATAGAAATCCAATGAGAGCTCTCTGAAAATCTGAAGTGAAAATTAAAAAAAACAGACTTTTTCGTATCGCTCCCATTCGGGAACCGTTTGACGTACCAACACGAGCCTTGCTGAAGTTGTTCCTCAGACCTTCCTAGCACTCACATTGAAGGAAGTGTGTCGATATCTTTTATCATTTAGCTAGGAACAAGGTTTGTTTGGGGGTAACAAATCTGTCCGAACCCCAGAATCAAGATTTTGACAATTATACACTTTTTTACATCGTCACCACGCCTAGACGAAATATTGTAGAAATATGACAGTTACACCAGTTGTAGTCCAAAGATGGCTGACGCTCACGGTGAAAGAATTTTTTGAATACCTAATATGGTTTTGGCTCACCGCTCGTTTGTTCGGAGGGAAAGTTTTGCTTTTGAGAGTTCTGCTCTACCATTGTGCTGCATGTTAATCAATGAGACCAGCAGGATTTCTCAAACCTTTTTATTCCTCCTTCCCATTAAGGTTGTGAATGAGCTACATCCATGAAAGTCACCCCAATCGGAGACAAAGGATAGCTCTCGCTTAGACTGAAAGAATTTTTTAGATACCATTTACGGTTTGTCTTCAGCACTCGTTTGTTCGGAGCTGATAATCCCATTCAAAAAAGCCTGAGAACAACAGGCTCGTTAACGTCGTCAAGGTAACCGTGCTTCAAAGGATTTTACCTCCACCACTT